GGCGGGGGGGGGCGGGGGGGGGGGAGCGGGTCCGGCCGGCGGGGGCCGCTTACCGTGGTGCCACACCTCGGGGTGCCCGTGGAAGTACGACCCGATGCCGTGGCCGACAAAGAAGGGGCAGACCTGGAAGCCGCCCTGCTGTGCCACAGAGCTGCGGGGTAAAGAGGACACCGTGAGGGAGCATGCCCCAACAACCACCACCTCCGCTAGCCCGCCCTGGCCCCTGCCACCGCACTGGTACCGGCAGCAGCATCGCCTGGCTCCTGCAAGCTCTCACCCCCGCCCTAGCACCTGGTCACCACTTTGCACCCGCTCCAAAAGCCAGCAGCCATCAGAGCTAGCACCGGTGAGCCGTTCTTAGGTTTCAGAGTTAACATGCCTGCCAGCGGAGACTGCTAGCTCCTGCGCCAGCCCCGCTGCCTAAGCAAGATGGCAGCGTGTCCTCTCCCTGTCTGATGGAGAGTAACCTTTTCCACGAGCACGCTGGGAACTCATTTTAACATGGGACAGCTAAATGGCAGCCAGGTCGCGCAGCCAGCACAGCACCAAACCGCAGCCTCTGCTGAGTCCTCCCTAGGTGCAGAGCCCATGCTGAGCTGCGTACCCACTGCCTGCACCGGGTTTTCTGCAGGAGAAGAGGGTCCTGCTGCCGACAGGGAGAGTTAAGAGCCCTACTGCTTCCCTTTCGGAATACTGCAAACATTCAGTACCACAATGTATTGAAACTCAAGCAAATCTGTTCACGCTAGTTAACAACGTATTTCTAATGAACCCATCACCACATTAGCAACACCAAATCATAATGATCATGGCGTTTCAGTTCTGCCTGGGAGATCTGTCCTGTCCTTCACGGCCTGCCTCAGGGAGGAGCGTCTCTGAGAGCTGCCAGCAGGAACACGGCTGGGCACCGATCCCCACCCATGTTGGGAAAGCAAATTTCTATCCCGGTCCCTAAAAACTGGAGGACCTGGAGATATTTGGGGTGTCCTCTGGCTGCTGCACCTCCCCATGTCTGCAGGCTTCACTCTCAGGCTCTGCCCTTACTCAAGCAGTGGAGGCAGCAGTGGAGGGGGTGACTTGAGGTAGCTCAGCCAGGAGGGCTGCCCACAGTTGAAACAGAAATGTGTGGAGATTGGGGGGGGGCTGGAGGTGGATTAGAAGTGACAAGGAAGCTACCCCTGTCCCTGCATATCATCCCCACACTATTTCTACAATCGAACAGGAGCAAGACAGGAAGGCACTTCGCCTGAAAAGATGTCACCTACAACATTAAAAGCTTAATTTGTTTGTTTTAAATCAAGGTAGGCACTTAAAAACTTCAGGATTGCCTGTATTTACACCCTAACAATTGCTTTCTCAGATTCTGACTACAGATGGAAAAGCGGAAAAGTTAAGAAACTCAAATAAATGTGTAAACGCTCACAGAAATTAAAGCATGTTAAATCCCACAGGGAGGTGCTTACTCAGGTGCAAAGTGGCCTCAGCTTGCTGTACACAGTAATCCCTTTGCACACCAGGCTTCACAGACCCTGCAGTGCTGGGTCCAGTGCCCGTGGGTCACCGTCCCAGAATTTAATGTCACTGCAGTTGAGGGACATGCTGCTCCACCACAGTGAAACGGCGATGAAAGATAAGAGTCAGGTCAATGGTTAATAACGCTGCAGTTTTCAGACCATAAGAGCACATTTTACCAGGATTTGTGTATTAGCTTTTACCTACCCATTGCCCTGCTACAAAGACTCATCACATTTCTTTCATTAACTCTGGAGAAGAATGGAAATTTCAAATTTAGCTGCCCCCAAAGTCCTAAGTACTGGCAAAGAGGGTTACTGATAAGGCTAGAAGTTGGGCTTCATTTGGTTGTATTCAAAGTCCGGGCTTTTACCTTATACGTCCTTCATGTGGAAAAAGATCATGAAGGTTTATGCAGTGAAAAGTCCTACTAAAAATGGAAAAGACTTTCTCCCCTGCCTTTCTATCACATCACCTACGTCTGGGTCAGAGACTTGGCCCACTGGCCATGATGATGCTGAAGGCCAAGGAAGAAGCACAGGGAACGGCGAGGAGTTAGAAAGCCACATTACTCAGAAACATACACAAAATGAAGCGGAAGATCTCCAGTGACCAAGCCCAGAGCAATGCAGATAATGACTCCATATGGGTGAAGTGATTCTCTGAAGAGAGATGGGAGAAGCTGTCCATGCAACACCTGATAAGCTTTTCTTTCACCTTCTTCTGCAAGTCTTCTTGCAAATGCATAAAGAATCCCACTGATTATTCCGCTTTGCTGATGTCCTTACATGGCATTCCTGACCACTGAAAGAGCACAGTCATTTTTGGAGATGTTTTGTATTATTACAGGATTTTTCCCCCAGAAAAACCCGTCTTCTGTCACAAGACAGAGAGCTTTTTTTCTGTGCAGCTATTCTTCCGAGCACCATGGCTACATACTCTCCTGCGGGCAGGGGAAGCTCTCGCCCCATCAGTCAGCTGCCGCCGAGGAGAGTGGCAGCAGCAGCAGCAGCTGCGTGCCGGGCACCACGAGCACCGGGGCACACAGAAGGCAGTGTTAAGACAGTATCCCGTCCTCACGTGGTGAAAGAAGTGGTTCTCGTGCATTTCAATGGTGAATTCTGCCACTTTCTTGCCAAACAGCTTGAAAACAACTCTCTTGGCATCAGGACTTCAGTGGTTACTGTCTGTGATCAAAATAGGGGACCTTGGAGCTCACAGGGCTTTGACATCTGCACTGACAGACGCCGGTGCCCCTCCTCCTTCCCACTTAAGAATGTCTACATACAGAGCTGGGGTATTCTTTACATAAAATGTAACATGGTCAATGAACCTGAAGTGACACACCTGTGGAGAAAATAAGCTGCAGGTATGAAACTCAGCCACGTTCAATCTGGTTTTAGTATTTGCATGTGCTTCAGAAGCACCTTAGAGGGAGTTTCATTCCACAACTACTAGCTTTACTTTGGAGTATTTAAAAAATACTAGTGAGCTCTTACATCCTTGTGGAGTTACAGTAAAATGCCTAACTTTCATAAAAAAACAAAGCTACTAACCCCAGCTACAACTTGCAAAGGTAATCCTGTAAATGTACGTGTTAGCTGTAAATGCTGGCAGGGAGGACTTTGAAACAGCTCTGAGAAGAGTGAATTGAACTGTTGATCTCGGTCAGCCTCTCCAGCCTCCAGGATTCCCAGGCTGTGGAATCCGATTTAAAAATCAGGATGCCATGGAGTGGAGCATTTTTGCACAAGTTTACCATTTGCTGCTGACAACAGCTCAACATTTTGGTCTTGCTGTCTCGTTGCCCAGCTCAGGATCTGTCAGCGGTGGCCTTTCTTTCCAGCTTTCCCTGGAAGGCAACCTTACAAGATTGCAGCCCCAGCTCCACGTGCTGCTCCTTGCAGATAGGCAGCGTAAGATCAGGCAGCTGGAGGAGTTCTGATTGCAAGTGGGAAAGCAGTGAAGGTGGGAGGCAGGAGTCGGCACGGCTGAGCTGGGCTGCCTGGCATCTGCCGTGGGAAAGGAGAGCTGCGCCGCTGGGTGGATGTGCCAGTCTGCCAGTTCCCCTCAGCCGTGGGGACTTCCTTCCAGAGCAAAGGCCGGGGCAGCAGAGCCACACCACACCAACAGCATCAAGGAAAAAAAAAGGGTTCTTTGGAATAATCGTTGTTAAAAATATCCACTGACAACATTTGTCATCACACATTTTATTCTTTGAGCCATGTTGTGCGCTTGGGCAGAGGTGAATTGGGCAGGATTAAAAGCATAATCATTTAATGAGCCCAGTACTTGATTTTATGTTTTGCTGCCATGTGTTCCAGCCCAGTGGCTGTGGAGTCAAGAGTACCTGCAGTGCTGCTCCTCTTTTGCTGATGGCAAAGCCAGGCAAAGTGTCTGGCGTTGGGATGGACCGGCAGCGGCCGAGCTGGTAAAGGAACATCACTGAGGGCCATGCTGTCCACCTAAACCCATAGGCAGAGCCTCTGGTATGGTGGTATCATGCTTCTGAGAGTGAACAGACAGGAGACCTGGGTGTCAGTTCCCTCCTGAGCATCCTCTTCCCATGTTGCCAGACAACAGCGAATTCTCCGAAAGGAGGGATGAGTGCGGAGACATGCACTGCCATCCTGCCAGCAGCCCAACAGGGAAATTGCCACAAAGCAGCGACAGGCAGGATCAACTCTCTACAAAGCTCTCCCCGATACTCTGGAGCCTGCCTTGAAAGGAGCTCTGGGGTGATAAATCCTTCCCACTAAGAAGCTGAAAAGCAGGTTGAAAGAATTTCCTTAGGGGGCTGGCCCTGTGCAGGAGCACCTATGGGATAACAGGCATCCCAGCTCCACAGGAAAAACCATCCATTCAGACTTAGGATTGGAACTCCCATTTATGGGGGAGACCCCCCCTCATTTTCCTTTCTTTTTACCAAATTTTGTCACTTTTTCCTCAAGGTAGGTCTGGTCCAGTATTCCAAGCCGTCACTGAAGAAACAAAGTGAAACAAATCCCATTTTCAGCATTGATACCAAGTGCTTCTCTGGGCTCTCTGGTGGCACAAGGGAAGAATTTGGCTGATCAGACAAGATGGCACAAACTGCTTTGCTACCCAGGCTGAACAGCCTGGTGAACTGATTGTCAGCTAGGGATGCTTCTCTCGCAGTGCCACTTTCTCTCCCCAGAGATGAAACTTTATCAATGACAGTCTTGCAGAGCAGCGTGACCTGAATGGCTGAAGTTGCTAAACAAGCCAGTCTTACACTTCTGGGCAGTGAACACGCTTGGGTAACACTGAAAGAGATAACAGACCTATGATAACTGTTTTCTTACCTAGGGATCTGAATTAATTTATTTTTTTAAATTAGAAGTAATCATGTTTTTCTTAGATATATTGTAAGCAAAATGACCACTGAATGGCATATTTGCCTTTTTTTTTTTTAATTCTTGAAAACAGCATCAGCCTCAACTAGATTTGCTCATGATAAAAATATCTATTTTGAATAGTACCATATTATCTAATTTGAGAAATTACAAATTTCTACAGGGAAAATATTAAAAGTATTTTTCTCTTAAATAGTAATCCTAGACTGAGGGAATGCACAACTTCAGGGATTCCCTATAATGACAATAAATGTTGAGGTATAATTAGTAATATTTTTGAAAGCCAACAATTGTTTTTTGAAGGAAAGGTACATTTTAGTTTCAAACTGTAACACAAATTACTGTATTTTTCTTACAATAGTGCTGAACTTTTATTTGAGGTTCTCTGTTTCTGAAAGCAGACATGATGGATTGAAATAAAAGATAATTTATTGCAATGCTTACTTTCAAGTGCAGAGAGAAGCAGTGTAATTGTAATTTACAGTAGCTGTCAAGGAAAATCTATCACAGATGACATTAAAATGACTTATTTTGCCTGAGCCACTTATTGTTTAAATGTGCATAATCTGATAGAAACAGATTTTTTTTTTTAAATCTGCTTTATATTGTTCTAAATTAATATCAAAACATATACTTATGAGTTAAACATTTTAAACCATTTATTAATACTTTCATCACTACTATTTTTTCCTAGGAGTTGGAAACTGGTTTGTTTAACAATATCACGTTTATGTTTTTTAGCTCTCTACACTCACAACACTTCCATGTCCCTAAACTCACTGCCCAAGAAGTAGATTTCGAACTATATTTGTTTCTGTCTGAAAGAGAAGCGTCAGAAATGGTAGAAGAAAATGGAACATAGGGCCCAATTCTGTTTCCACTGGAACTGACGAACAGTTTTGCTACCACCATCAGTAAGAACAGGTTAGCAAAGATTCAAATTTTTCTAAGCAAAGTAACTAATGAATCCACGCAATCTTTTATTTACAACTTGTAGCTGATGGGACAAGGAACTGCCATCCATGAAACACTCAGTGTCAGCTATCGAGCTTCCATAACAAAGACTATGTTAGAAAACTGAATGCAAATAATATCACAAATCATTTGCATTTGTCTGCAATATAATTATTCCCAAACCTATTGTAGAAAGGAAATATTCTGATTATTTGTGCCTAAGATACATTCTGCATATCACTTGAGCACCTTTATAGAAATACTGATGAAAGAAACCTAGACACATTTCCATTCTGATGGGCCTAAATGTTTTCAGCTTGTATGTGCTTGTTCTCAGGTATTTATGATATCCAACTCTCCCGAAACTTAAGATTGTGATGTATGTATGTATTATATATGTCTGTCTGCATGCAAATGTAGAATGACAAATAACCAGAAACACACAGCCTCACCAAACCAAGGCGATCTTTCAGCAGAGGCAGTGTTAAAGTAGTTCTAAACAAATCAGTACAGTTAAATCGTCGACACGAAAAAATCTTGAGAAATAAAGTTAATGACCTGCTATTTCATATGTAGTTTTGAACAGCTACTAAGCTTTGACTAATCTTCTTTTCAAAGGGGGCGCTGACTATATATTTACACTTTGCAAGTAAACTGACCTCCGTACCAACACAGCAAAAATCCAATGTCACATTCAATTCTGTTCTTTTTCTTCTTCTCCCCCCCCCCTTTTTTTTTAATACAGCTAGAATTAATGTAGTGAATCTGTAATGAAATGCATTATCCTGCATGGAGATTTATCAGATTTTCCAATTGAATGCCATGCTTTGCTAGCACTAGTTGGAGTTCACCTGCATGTTGGTGTGGCGTGTGGCTCTTTTTTGTAAAGAGTTAAGTTGAACACAAAAAAAGGGAACAAAGGTCAGCACCCAGCCGCCACTTGAATGTGAGATTTTTCTTTTTATTCCCCTTGATGTATACTAGGCTCTGTGTTATTAGTCTTAATGATGGAAAATTGTAGTGTTGATACAAATCTTTTTTTCAAAGTAGTAGGCGGGAGCTCCATTTGTTAGTAAGTTTTTTTGTGACTAAAAGCCACGGACAGTACATTTATGTAGCAGTAAAAGGCCTAGATGCTCTTTCCATAGCAGAGCTAATTATTCCTACTGTGACCTTACTGATCTACCCTGTTCCTAGTACATCTCATCTGCACGCCTGTTCCTCTGTGTAGATGGTGTCAGAGAATATGAAAAACCCTATAATGAAACCATTTTCATGATGGAGAAAGGCTACTGGAGTTGCACTTGCTACAAAGAGGCTCAATTATATGAGTAATTGTGATAATTTTCTACATTCATAGCCTTCAATGGGGAAAAAAGAATGAGAGCCACAAAGGAAAATTACTTTAACAAGAAAGTACAGAGAGTAAAAATGGAAGAAGAGACAAAAAGGGGGAAAAAAATAACCAGAAAAAAAGTTTAAAAAATAGATCTGGAGGGAGGAATAGCAAGACAGGGAGAACAACAGAAATGCTCAAAAAGCCTATGTGCAGCTGTGTTGCACAATTAAATTGAATTTTTTTTCTGCAGTTGATGAATGTGACTACTGCAAATGTGCCTCTGTAGTTAGCTATCATTTGTTGTTCCGTGACAGGAAAAGGATAATTACCTCTCAGAGAGAATCAAAGGCTGACATGCCCTTTAGACACAGCCATGAATGCAGAGCTCGATAGAATGCTTGAATAAGAATCCAGTGTTCTGTGCCCCCTTCTACTCAAGAATAAATTTTGTTAAAATGCAAGAGCACCACCAGTAAATTTGTTGAACCCTAGGTGTTCAAAAATATGAGGTGCATCTATCGACTCATCCCATTTGCAAAAATAAAACTACATTTTGAATTCACTTCTATTATATTCATGGACAGTAAGATAGTGAGATATGCATTAAATTTCTTTTCCCAGTAGGGGTCTGATTCAACATTTCCTATGAAAGAACAGAAAGACACTATCCTTTTTCTCCAGGCTAGTTAGCCTATAATTTAAAACTGTCAAAAACACAATTTTATACAAAGTCTTCAATAAAAGCTTCTCAGATATAACCCAAAGAGGTTTTACTAAAGTTTGATTCAGACTCTGTTACAATATTTTTAAAGCTATAAATACATCTAACTGATATTTTCCCGTTCTCTTTTTTCCTTAAAGTATTTGAAGATTTACAAAGAAAAAAAAGCAGCATCCTTTCAAGGTGACTAAGCCTTGCAGCTTTTAAGTAATCAGAATGTATTCAACAGCATGTTGGGACCATTAATAGTCCAGAGAAGTATTGCTTAATGAAATGTATATGATATATGTCTATTTCTTTTTTGGAAAACATTTTAAAATAATCCATAGGTACCTTCAAAAAACTAAGCCATATTTTTATTCAAAACCACCAGCAGAAGGAGAGTCATGACTACATTTATGTGAAGGATAGAAGAGATGCAAAACAGGGAAAAACCTCTGAATGTGAGCTCTTTTTTCCCTGTGACGTTAGCATGCACTGCTCTTTGTAAGATCAGAAGCTCTCGAGTTAAATATTTTTGTACTTTTTAAACAAAGAGACTTATTTATGTTGACTAATTCCTTTGTAACATTTGTTATTGCTATACAACAAAAACAATGTTTTCTAACCTTCTCACATTGTTAGACAGATGTGGTGTAGTTTCACACACAAATAAAAAATAAACAAAAACCCACCGCAAATTACATCTGTTAATTTAAATCTACCTTACAAATATCTTTGTCTCTTTCTACAGTTATCTTTGCTGACCCCAGTGTAATTCACTTAAAAAAAAAAAAAAAAAATCTCTCTTACCCAAGGAACAACATTATAGCTTGGCAGTTCACATACTGATATCAGACTGAAATGATGGTTTTGAATCATAAAACATGTCATCAGCTTTATAGCAAACCACCAATAACCTTTGTCCCACTTGCCAGCCCTCCCTTTACTTGTCAATATAAGGCTTACCTGATTGTGTTTCCAATTACAGAGAAGGGAGCCCCTGGTCTGCAAGCTGCAATTGCTTCATCTCTACATTTCCTGGCAACCTCCACTAACTTTTGACCAGATTTATCCACATTGCCCACCAAAAAGGTTTCAGAAGTGTCACCATGGTAGCCATTGTAATACACCTAAACATATGCAGAAATGTAAAGACATGTTCTTGTTTTGCATCCAGAAACAGATCATCTCCTTAATTAAATCCATTATTTTTAGGAATGAGCTATATATTGCAACAGATAGACCACGGGTAAGCTGTATTTGCGAGAATGAGACTGGAAAAGCGAAACATTGCAGAGAAAAAAAAAAAAAGCATGAAAGATTGCAAGGTGTGTAAGGGTTGCCAATTAAAAATTCAAGAAAAGCAGAAGTTGTGCACCACTGCCCAGCAGTGCACCAGACGACGACATTGCTCAGCTACAGGACATGAGGCTAACTGGGCAGTATGCGAGAAGACGGGCGGGAGCCGTGCACGGGTGAAGGGGGCCCTGGGGGCTGTGGGGTGCCCACCCACCCCGGCCACCTGCCCCCGGGGCCAGGGACCCGCTCGCACCCCACAGGGGTAGGGTGTCAAGCCCCGGTGCCGGCCGTGGGCGCTGGGAGACCCAGCAGGGGCTTGCAGGGAGAGCCGTACCTCCGCAGACAGCATCCTCCAGTGGGGTTTTGGGGGGGTGCTGTGCACAGCTGGGTGAGAGGTGTACCCTGCTACCAACATCCAGAGGGAGCCCCACGGAAAGCACGGGCCAAATCCACCGCCAGCTGTCGCACGCTTTCTTCAATCTCATTTTTAAACTACAAAGTGGTATTAACATTGGATTTTACTTCTGACTTCCAGAGATGAATTTTGAAAGAGAATAAACGTACCGTTCTGGCACCACAAAGTTTCATGTGCTGAAAATGTAGCACCCTGTTGAATTAATTACGTACTGGGTTGGTTTTGTTTTTTTGTTTTGTTTTTTTTTTTTTTGACATTTCATAGGTTTTAAACCTCTGCTCTCCAGAAATTCTCTGCTGGGCACAGGAAACCCTGGCTATGCGCTATGGAGCTCTGCAATGTGCCATTAAAATGGGGTTTGCAGTTACGGCAGGCAGGCACGTAATTGTAAGACAAAGCCAAATTTCCCTACGGAAAGACAAATTATAATGGTGCACAGTTTTGATCTTGTAAAACATTTTTTCTCTCCTGAACAGTGGGCAACTATCCTTCTAGGACTAATAACTCACCAAGCTCAAAACACTGAACTTTTGCCACTGGTGACCTATTTGTGAAAGACAGACCCACATTCTTTTTGGTCGATTCCAAACTAAAAAAAAAAAAAAAAAAAATTGGCTACAGACAGTTTATCCCAAGGCCCGGTTTGTGTTCAGGCTGAGATGTGAAGAAAATGCAGGCAATTAGGAACGAGGGGTGTTTTAAAGAAAGGTGAGTGCCAGCAAGGGCCCAACCGTGCTGCCACCCCTCTGGCGGACAGCAGCTGCGATCCCCTGCTCTATACCTTCCTCTGCCAGTCCAGACTGCCAGTAAATCTTTTCTTTTTTTAATTTAACGCCTATCGGGCAGGTTTTAATCTAGCTAGTTGGTATTTAAATGGAACTAGTTCATTTTTAGCTCTAGCAAATACAACACACAAAACCTCACCATTAAACATCATCATCCTGGAAAAGCAAATACAGATTTAAAACAGGCAAGTTTAAAAATAATAATAATATTTACTGCAGCCCATCAACTGCAATTACATATTTTTGACGTTAATAAGCTACAACCACAGCAACTGTAACACACTAATTCCTTAAAAGTCAATGAAAGAACCAAGTTGTAAGAAACATTAACCTGATAATGGCAGGCTGAAAATTGCCCTATGCTGAGGATTCAGTGATGGATAATGCTATTGTTTCTACACTAAAATACATTTCAAATGCTACATGAGTCAAGCCAATAAAATTTGTATTTCACCTATGAAATTCTCCCATCTTAATTGCACAAATATGGATTTTTTTCTTCAAATAATTTGAAGTGTTTACACTTAATAACCAGAATATTATTTAATCATTTTATAGAACCTGTACACAATTATGAACAATTTATTGTGCAATATTTACGTTGATTTTTATTCTGTCCACCTGTGAAACATCCCAGTTTTGCTCATTAAAAATAAGCTAAAAGATCAGTTAGCAACACTGAAAAGTAATATTTTTTCCTCAGCTATTTTGGAACTGAGCAATTATCAAACACAGCACAGTTCAGTTTTAAATGATAAAAAAATCTTACAAAGATAATCATCAATTCCCATCCTTGCAGGAATCTTCACATTCACAGAAACGTCAAGATTTATTTTATTTTATGATAGTAAACTGAAAACAAATAAAAATATGTCTTCAAAAAAGACCAGTAACATTTAGTCAGACATAATTTGTAAAGCAGAGTAGACAAGGTATGCACACCACATTAATATAAAAATGTTTCATTTAGTTTATCATGGAAAGTATCTGTGATATGAATCTCCACTTTTTTATAATCTAAGGCGTCATTATTATCCTGACAGATAAAACTAAAAAATAAAATGAACTTTAATGAGATACAAAGAAATCAGATGTTAAATCCTTAGCTGTTGCAAACTGATTTAGCCTCATAAAATGAGCAAAGCTACACCAGTTCACTAAAGTAAAAATGTAGGCCAAAAATATACTTTAAAAATGATAGATCGCACTGTGTAAACCTGATAGTTGGAATTCTACAGTTAGAAAGTATGGAGATGAGGAAGAATTTAGCAAGATTAAAAAAACCCAAACCAAACCCAGTTCTGGATCACATGTGAGTATACCATGGGAAAAAGGTCACCGACTCTAATTTTAATAGAAAAAAAATTTTATAAAGCTTGAAACTCATGCTCAGAGGTAGGTCTGCTAGAGATTTCTTCGCTTCTGCCTGTATGAAATTTGGGCCCATGGAAAATAGTATCAAGTTACCAAGAGTTTCTTTAATGATTAAAAAAAGCTTGTTTTTATGAGATGTTACTCCCTTGTATGTGACATATTATTGCAAAAAAACCTGGTGGGATTCAAAAGACGTCTACATTCATATTGGAAATAAACGGCATTTTGGGAAAATAAAAACATGCACAGTAAAAAGAAAAAAAGCTTCTGCAAGAGACGAATAATTTTTTTATTTTTTTTTCAAAAATGAAACGAGAATTAGGTTTCCAGTTTCTGTACTTTCTTGCTCCTAAGAAAATCCAGCCAGTGTTTATTTAAATAGCTATAATTGACCATTCCCTGGAAATATTAAGTCACGATTATATCACACTATTTCTGTTTCTGCGCAAAAGGTTCAGGGCTTTTATACCAGAAATGGAACACAACACTACCTTCGGGCATTTTAATAAATGTAGGGAACACTGCTAGCAAAAGAGTTGCTGTCCAAATAGACTGACATACACAGGCCAATGTAGCCTCTAATGACAGAGTAAGATAATGACAGGCCCCACTCAAAATCAGCAGGAAGAGGAAGATCAATCTTGGCAGAGTGAAGGAAAAATGCTGGCTTTCTTCATGTTAGCTCATCTCATACATATCTATCTTCAGCTGCTGCCCAGTACTGTGGTGCTCTGCATTAACTACACAGTGGATCAATAACAATTACACCTTCTCAAAAACATGACACATAGCAGGATTGGGTTGACATTTCACTTAGGCCAACATTGATCTCAGTGCATCTGATTCCAGTCCTAAATTCAAGTCAGGCCTGGGTCTAGCTGGAATAAACACACACAGTTAAAAACAAAAAAGGAAACCAGCTGCTTGTGCCTTGGCTCAGAAGTAAACAGCACATCCATCTGTGCATCCCCCATCTCCAATCCACTGTTCTTCCTGTTGCTACTAGTGATTCTAAAGTTGATCAAAGACTATTTTTATATGAATTACTCACCGTGACATCAATGTTGATAATATCTCCATCCTGAAGAGGTCGACTGAAACATAAACAGAGAAAAAAAAATGGTGACAGACAGTTCCCAACAAAGGGAATATAAGAATAAACACCTAATGACACATACATAAAAAATCAGGGGGTAGATATTTTGTGATGGAGGAAGGCAGAGGCAAACAGAATAATCATTTTTAATGTTCAGCTCTCACTACTTAGAGAACAAGTGTAGCTGAATATAAAATAATGAGAAACAACTACCAGAAAAACATATCAACATCTGAAAAATCTACCATTATATTTATTCTTTTTCTCTCACTAGGGTTCATATTTTACTTTGTGAGTAGCTGAATGTATTGCAAATTTAAAAAAAAAAACCACATAAATTCAAATATATTTATTCCTTACCCTATATTTTGCTGGAGGAAAAAAAAAATCAGACTGTATTGGTGTTTTTTTTCCACACACTAAACTCTAAAGGCATTATGCTATTTTTTTAAGTGTCTGCACAAACAGGATTTTTTTTTTCAATTTCACATACACTTCTATAACATCTATCAGCATTGTGTGGTAACACAATATGCATCTGCAATACGTTTACATATGACATTTAGTTAAGCTGAAGTATGTTCAATATTAAACACAATTTATTAATTTCAGTTTAACATTTTCATTCCCGGTGGTAAAATGTATATTATTGGGGAAATACCTGTCAGGAATACCATGACATACCACGTTGTTTACAGAAGTACAAACAGATTTTGGAAAACCTCCATAGCCCAGAGGTGACGGATAGGCATTCTGTCTGATTATTTCATGATGAACAATGGAATCTATTTCTTCAGTTGTCATGCCAACCTAAAATATCAAACATAACATCCTGTTAAAAAAGCAAAGATAGTTTCTCATATTTACTGAATGTGATTGCAGCCAACCGTTTCAATGAAATCTTGGATGTTTCAAATACGCTGCTTTGATACAAAACACTGAACTGTCTGATATACTTTATTGATATATTGGACTTTTCTTTTTTTAAAGAGAAAAAGGTTTTAAATAAAGCATGCAGTAGAAATGAGCACTCAAAGGTTCCTAGAAAACCTAAAATACTGTTTACTTCCTTTCCCTTCTTTTTTCCACATTTGCTTTCTCAAAGACACCAATTTTCCATGGCATCTTGTTTCAGTAGCTGCTATAGAAATGTCTGGTTTCAATGCTTTCAGTCCTTTAAAACACATTACTTTCCCTTCTTATTTGTAAAAGAAAGGATCTTAATTCTGGTAACTTCCCTGTACATTTATCATAATATACTTGTGCATTTTATGAAATTGTTTTCCAAGTATTCTTTAATTTTATAAAAGATTTAAATATTTTGCTTCATATCTTGAGGATATTTTACCTGAAGTTGCCATAGCCTGGATGATCACAGTGAATCTACAAGCGCTTATCCATCATTTTTAGAAATCTTCATTTTTATGCTTGACGTTTTCTAGATTCATCCTTTTCTCACAATTTTACATATTAAAAAAACCCTCTCATAAATCATTCAGTCATTTTCTGAGTATCCATGGAGTGGAAAATGCACATGCTTAAAATAACATTCTCCTCGCTTTTCTTTTGGATCGACTCTGTCTCTGGAATGGTTAGAGCTGAAATCTGAAATTTGGTAGGGAAACCTCCCTCATTGAGAAGAAGTGCCTTTGAGGGTTCCTCTGCAAATTGATTTTGATTTGAATGAGTTTTGAGCCTTTGAAAATCATACTTTGTACACATACACTACAGTGGCTGTGATTTTGGAGGATTTTTTAGTAATACATGGAATATAGGTAGGCTGTGGCACAGGAGGCATACTTATCTATATATTGAAATACTGCGTGATCACGCACAGTGAATACAGGGGAGTGCACTTGCGTACTGTGCTGAGGGTAAAACCAGGTCTATTTGCTCAGCTTGCATCTTGTTCAGCATGAAAACCTGGTTGGGCAGATGAGGAGCGATGAACCCACTCAAGACCAGGGTTTGGGGTTACTACACAACCCCCCTGCTTTGCAGTAGCCATTGCAGCCTCTGTGCTGGGACGGCAGCCGCAGCCCTGGCGCACTGTCTGCATGCATTGGGTACTGCAGCCATCAGTTCTGGATAAATACAGGTTTGTGGCTCCTGCCTTCGCTCACCCATCTTCAGCCTGTAGACAAACTGAACCGCTATGTACCAGATTGGGTGCTGTCTGCCGCTGCTCTGCTCAAGGAATTTGATGTCGCTTTTGGACACTCAGCAGACAGATCTGTGCTCTCTGCATGGCAGGCTTACACACTGCGAAAAGTTCTGCTTTTGACAGTATCTGCTTTACTTTTAAAGGAGCTTTTGCTAGCTGGTTAAGGTTGGGGAGGCACCTACTGCATACCTCATCCCTTATTTGGGACAGGACAACCTGATGGTATCCAACAAAATACTTCCATGTTATAGAATTTACTGCTTTATTCCCAAATCTTCAACTCAAACCCAGGAAATGCTATCGTGTATAATACCATACTGTATTTTTAAGTCCTACAGGCAGTAAATGGTAATATCAAAACCACGCTCAGCCCAAACTTTGTCTCTCTGCATCCATGCATTATAACGCACCTTTGTTATATTGGGGGATGTTACTGCCATTAGCTAAAGCACAGGTGAGAGCTGGTTTGGAGGGTTGTGTGCAAGGTGGGTTCAGCAAGACAGCAGGAACAGGTGGAGGGATGGGTCTCTTCAGATAAAATGGGAATGCAGAGTTTACCTTAGGAAAATAGCCTAAATGAGCTCAGTTAGTTTAGTCTGGTGCACTGAAAGCTGTAATAGCTCTGTTACTGTGTGAAGAGGACAGACTCAAGGAAAGGCAGGAAGCTCTTTAAAGAGTGGCATTGGCACAAAAACAAATGGGTATAAACTGGCCACGTGCAGTGTCAGGCTGGAAAGCAGAAGACGCTCACTGTCGATGACGGAGGGCTTTGGAGCATCCTCCCAGTCAGGGGAGTCTTGGCCAAACACTTACTGGTGTAAAATGGAGCTCATCACCTGTCTGCGGCTGACCTGGGCAGCGGTCTCGGCACTGCAACTCCAAATGCCACCTCCCTCCCAGTCCACAGCTCATGGTCATGTAATTCTTACCTTATACACCTTCTTGCTCCAAAACGTTCATTACCTGTATGTAGTATTTTGCTGTTATGTATGATTTGGCACATACTATGAACTACACCGTGGTAGTAGTTCTATCATACTATCAGCTACACCGTGCTGCATACATATGTATTTTACACATGATAACAACCAAAGAGTATTAGTGAAAAACTGCTCTCATTCAAAACCCACATTGCACCCTGATCCTTCAGAAACATATATATGCCCTTAACTTCACATGAGTAAGTTTTACTGTACTGGGAAATAATTGCACATAAAGAAGTTAAACGTGCACGAGCCTATGTAAGATCAAAGCTTCAGGCAGTTTTGTTATTGGCCACCCCAGCTCCAGAATTAAACCTCTGGGAAAGTGTGATGACAGCTGAAAGAAAAATGCACAGTAAACTGATAATTTTTTCCCCTTTTAAGTCAATGGCATTGACCTACAGTCCCCATCTATCTCTGCATCTCATAGCTACTCAACCCATTTTACCCTATCCAGTATGCTATTACATGAAATACCACGGCAAGGCTAAAAAAGCACTCTTTCATCTGCAAAACCTGGTAGTAAGCTCCTCCTAGGACATTTTAACTTGGGAGGTATCCCAAAAAGCATAATGTAGAAACATTTCTGGAAACCATGAAGCTTTATTATCAATGCACTCCGGAAAATTGTGTGGAATTTGGCAGCTAGTTTTTTCAACGGCAGCTCTACGAGTTGCGCTGGACCCCGCAGGACAGCGAGGGGCTGAAGGATGGATGGGAACTGAGGAGGCAGCCCAGCCCTTTGGACTTGCACACACGCAGAGCCAGAAAGCACAACATACAAGGAAGATGGGCCATGAAATGAAAGGAAAAAATGTAGTGTGGGCCTTCTGAGAAACTCAGGTGATTTGGCACAATCTGAACAGAGGAAGATTACAGACAGAGAGATATTGCATCACAGCCAGCAACTCACTTTAAGTACTACATAGGTCCAAAATACAGGAATAATTAAACAGGCCTATCATGGACTGAATCAAAAGTTAATAAATCCTTCTTTTTTCAGGATCTAACTTAAAGTGAGATGCACATTAAGGGAAAGTTAAAAAAAAAGTAGAAAAAAACCCCAAATAAGTGAAAGAATAAAAGACATCCAAGCTGTTATGGGACTTGGGTAATTGTTACCTTTAAGCCCTTTCCAGCCAGAAGCAGGACATGACGGGCCAACTGACAAGCTTGACGAAGCCCTTGAATCTGATCTTCATTCTTAATTTCTATGTCGTCTCCCCAGTCTGGTACAATGCCTGTCGTCACATAGTCTGGCTTCTTTATGTGCTTGGAGAAAAAGGATTGAAAATGAAGATCAGAAAACTGAGCATGACAATGGGATCATTTTCTCAGATACTGCCTCCTGCTTCATGGCAGCTTGCCCTTTCTGTCGTAGTATCGACCTTCGTAAGCCATCAGGGCAAACCCTCAAGGCTGCCTCAGTATTTCTTCCACTGCCCTTTTGAACTTAACATTGCCTGTTACTACTGACTTACACAGTCTGTTAGCCTTCCAGTGCTGAAACCCCAGATACTGCAGCTGACTTCCAGCAGACAGTCGCAAGTTTTGAAACTGTGAGAAAGAGACTTAAAACCTCTTCATTTTCTTTTGCAAAGAGGCATGCTTTCTACAAAAGGCATCTAAACACTGGAACTAATGGGACAAACATAGAGAATTAGGCTCAAAAATAAAACTGATCAAATCCTTAGCTTCTTGTTCAGAGAAAACTCCTATTAACTTCCATGAGATTGGATTTGACTAAGAACCTTAAGATTTAACTTATTTTAATTTAGAGGTTTTTACTTATTAATCTAGTTCATATGCTGTGCCCGAATTTGTCCATCTACAACATTAACCATGGGTATCCCAATCTGCTGTGTCAAGGAAAGTGTAATACACTTAATTTTTTCCACACATAAAGTTCTCAGCCCTCGTGTAGAGGTGATTTTATTCTGATACTATCAGCTACACCGTGCTGCATACATATGTATTTTACACATGATAACAACCAAAGAGTATTAGTGAAAAACTGCTCTCATTCAAAACCCACATTGCACCCTGATCCTTCAGAAACATATATATGCCCTTAACTTCACATGAGTAAGTTTTACTGTACTGGGAAATAATTGCACATAAAGAAGTTAAACGTTTCTGATTTTATTTAAATCCACAAGAATTTAATGACACCCGTATAAACACAACAAACTAATAATAATGGTAACGTCTTGCACAGAGATGGAAATGTACTTTCTCTCAGAGGGTCCTGGGCTGTTTCACTGGCTGGGGAAGAGTCCCTTCACCACGCTGGCCACAGGGTGAGTTTTGCACTGACTTCACAAAATACAGAATCAAGCTGGCAGGCAGAAAACAAAGTGGGCACTTGGGCTGTACACAACCAGACCATACAACAGCAGGGTGTAGGAGTAGAGAAGAGTGGGGCAACCAATTAGCTCTCGCAGGACTTTAAATAGGAAGACTATTGTTACTCCTACGGGTATTTAATTTCTACTCCGATAAAAAGTGAAACTATCTTTAGTGGGTTTATGTCAATGGAATTTCAGATTTACATTTCGTTCAGATTAACGGCGTATTGAACCTAACAACATCCTATTGTAGTAGTTTGGGACTTAATTTAGACTGCCCCGCCATTTGCTGGATTACCAACTCCATACACAGCAGCACCCCTGCTTTCCCCTTGGAGGGCACTTTAGTTAACTGCTGAGACCTGACCCTGCTGACCTGATCTGTTAAGGGACAAGCCCAAAGCAGCACACATACAAATGTCTATGTATACAGTTTCACACCAACATCTTGAAAAACCTGTTATTTCAATGTTATTTCTGGCATACTCTGTATAAATTAATAACTTCGCCCTCAAGTTTTCAGAGTAGAAGAATTGGACTGATTTTTAGACAGTCTGAGAACTCTGACCTGTGAAGACAACTTTTCAGTATGAGAATATATTTCTCCCTCTTTATGCTAAAAGAAGTATCTAAATACAGAAAAAAAGTTTGTCTACAATTTTTAAACTTCTGAAAATATATAAAGCATGTAACCCTATGTCTTCGCTGCACACAGAGCTTCCACAGCCTCTTAGGTGTAAGAGCCCTACATCTAGCATCCTTATCTGCTTTCCTGTCTAACAACTTTTTAGTATTTCAGGGCAATGGAAATACTTTATATTTTGCATAAGAAATCTATAATAAAATTAAAAGTAAAATTAAAAAAGTACTAATACACATCCTGAAAAGCACTGTTTAGAGAGGGTACTTCGATTTTCTTTTGGCTAAAGGAAAGATACTAAACAGTTAATCTGTATGCTGTAATTAAATGGGAAAAAAAAAAAGAAAAAAAGAAAAAAGAAAAAAGGGGGAAACAGAAGTGGAACACATGTTAAAATTACATGAAAAAGTTCCTTTTGGCTCTAAAGTCAATAAAAATAAAAGTATATGTTGCAAGAAAAAACAAAACACTCAGGCACAGCAAAGACAAGTTTAGAACATGCAGTGGGGTTGCAGGGCAGCTACCACCAGGTATTGTATGTTGTCTTCCTAAATCTGACATAACCAATTAACAAAACCTTCAGCAAAATACAAACATTTTTATAATTAGCTTGCTAGAGATTTATACAGAAAAGGACTCAGATGATTATGAATGATTCCTATGGACTTTTGGTAGGACTGCCTATAATTGTCCAAAACGAGAATCTGGACCCAGAAGTGTTAAGTGTTGACAGACGATTATACTATTCCATGTTTATACTACCATAACTGAACAAGCCCCAGGTTTAAACTCCCTAATAACTAGATATACCACTGTGTTTAACATGGTAGGCAGCTGAAAACTTCTCTCACCAGTGTTCCTATTTCAAATACCAGACCAAGCAACAGGACGGTGATCCAAACGCCCCGCTGTCAGACAATGAATACACTTGATCAAGCCTGCAGTCGAACTCAATATTGACTGAAGAACAGATTAGATAATAGAAACTGCAGTACCTTAGGAACTGAGTGAGCTGGAGAAACCGTGGCTGGCCAAACTATACTATAAGCAGTATTTCTTTGTCCCTGAAAAAAGAAGCATCTTCGCTGTTGATTGCTTGACCGCCTGTGCAGGTAGATACAATTGCAGGAAGAAAAGATTACATGGCAGCCAGTCACAGAACCTGTTAACAGACAAGTTAAAAATGGTTAACTTTTTTTTCTACCACTGCATTAAAAATGGAAAGTATGCAAAAAGAAAAGCATCATATAAAACAAACCACAGAACCCATGTAGCAGCCAAGGGTAGTTCAAATCTTGTACTGTTAAAGAAAGAGCATTAACACCGAGAAGCAATGAGAACAAAAAACTCCCCAAACAATACTTTGAAGCTTTATAAAATACTAGATCTGTTTTGGTTTGATGCATTAAAAGATAGCATGGGTAAATTCCCCAAAGCTTACAGCCAGGAGTGACACTCCAACTGGCCCCTGCTTGGAGCAATTTGCATGGCTAGAAGCTGCACTGTTCAAGGCTTGACAAAATGGTGAATAAGGGACAACAGCAAGAAAAGAGGAGAGAAAAAAAAAGATTTAATGTTGATTTCAGACAATATCTTCAGCTGTATTTTTCTAGAATTGGTCACAGATTTGAGCATAAAGATAATGCTGCTCTTGTCATTTGCACCAAGACACAAGGCATGGGGTTCAATTTGTCCTGCCTAGCAGGGCAACAGAACAAACTTCAAGAGATATTTTTAATCTAGGCCAAAGGCAATTGAAGGGATTAAAATTTATAATTGACTTGGAATATTCAAATCAGATTTCCACGTAATTCACATGGGAATTTGGGATGACAGTTCATCAGACTACGCATCAATCAAACTTAGTTGTCGGGCATGACACATTTTGCCCCCCTTAAAAAAGAAAAAAAAAAGAAAAAAAGGGAAAACAAAGGCCATTGAGGCAAAAAGGTTGTCAGAAACATCAAAACCAAAATAATGCATCACAAAAGACAATGCTAGCATCAAAACCAGGAAATATACTAAATTCAAAAGGATTATTGACACTGCCCAATTAAACTACAATTACACGTAGAACATATTTCCATTACTCAAACATTCTATAATCTAAACAGAGGGGTTTTTTGAAACATGAGTTTCATATAACAGCTAATCTGCTTCTGAAAAATGTCATATGTATACAAACAGAAGAGCACTCTTTTGTGGCAAGGAACCCATATGAAGGATTACTCTTCAGTAAAAAGAAAGTGTTTTTGTTTAAACAGAACACCTGTCTGTTTTTTAAATCACAGAAATTAAGAAATTAATCTACTGCATATTTTGGAACTATGTAAAAAAAAATTATTTTTTTTAAAAGAAGAGTTTTTTCCATAACTTGTATGTTTTTATTTTATTGTACCTCCCTTCCTTTCCTTTGGATGCATTTAGCACGTCCAGATGCAGAAATTATCCTTCCACAGGCACAGTTGGCTTCATAGACAGCCCAATTCCAGCATTCCATGATACACAGGAGATTCGAGTTATGCACCTTTTTTGGAGCCCCAAACCCCAGAATGAATGAAATAGTTGCATGGGGTTTGCTTTAGAAGTGTCCCCAACTGTCTCTTTGCCCACTGATCAGTGCTACGTTTAGTTGCCAGTAAGTGAAAGGTTGTAGAGACTTTTACTCAATGCAAGCAAATTTTTACTGGTTTTTTTAAATTGTTGATAAGTAACAAGGCAGAGTTGGAGGGTGAGGCTCAGATCAAGCTCTCAGTATAACCTAGGTACCCCAATGGAAGTTGCCTGCTTCAAAAGGGAAGAGAGTGTCTCCATGGAAGTGGAGCTGCCCAGTTAACAGAGGGCCGGAATGGTTTGGTGGCGTTTTAACTATAATTTAATCAACAACCTCATCATGTACTGCTTTCCTAGGGTCTCCTTCACATGAAAAAAAAATCATTGTCCAATTAAAAAAAAATAAATCTGGGCCACCCAACATGCACAATGTCTAAGTGCATCCAAAGAGCCCAAAGCATCCTACAAACTCCCTGGCTGGTTTGCACCCGTTTCTAGAACCTGGAAGCACAGAATCTGCTGAGGCAGCAACTTTTGGGCCATCAGAAATAGCAATCAGTCCGCCAGTGTAAGCTAAGGTAGCTCTTTTACAGAGTGCAGTGGAAGTACCTCACTTTTACCACAGCTGAAGGTATTATAAATATATTTAAAACCCACACTCACTGATGTGGTCAGTCAAAGCCCACGTGGACATCAATAAATGAACGCGTATTTCAAATGCTCTCCTTGGCACACGGCATGCTGCCTGGGCACCTTGTCTACTGTGTAAAAGTTTAATTAGGGAAGAAAAGGTGCAAGTGTGCTTGTTGATTATTCAACAGTAAAACTCCAAATGTTGCAAATACAGACATTTAAATACATTAAACCAGATTATATTCATGGGTTCATGCCTGTTGACCGTCCCACATTCAGAAGGGATACCTTTTTATTTGGAATAAAATTTTTACCTCTATTCTCCCAAAGATACACTGTAAGTGTTGTCACAAGATAACAGGATAATAAGGTACTGTAGTCTGTTGTTATTCTACTAACTATTCATTATAAACCAGACACATACAAAAATATCTACTACTTGAACAGGTGAAATGCGACAACCAAATAAATATCACCATAGTATGATACGACTCCTAAAATACATCACAAGATTATAAACACAGGACAACTAAACCTTTATTTGAAATATAAAAAATTGTAACAGAAAACATTCTCCTACAAAGTAAAAATAAAATGAAATAAAATGGCATTAAACTCTAATGAAGTTACTGTTTCATAATGAAAATCTGGACTCCATCCACACACTTCCTTCCTTAAGAAGGCCTTCCTAATGCCTCCACAGCTCCTTTTATTTTTTAACCTCCCATATTCACAGCTAATTCGATATAGCAACATCATCAATCACCAGAGACAAGAACAACTGGCTGTATTCTCCAAGTCTGGCTCAAGTATTCCCTCCTCCCCATGCCTTACACCTATCAAAGCTTTTCTCAGCGCCTTATTTACTTCTGCAACACTGGTGCTCATGCACATCCTTTTTGTTAAGCTCTCTATGTATATTCATTGCTGTAAGATAGTTCATAAATGCAGGATTTATGCAGCTTCCAGTGGAAACTGCAACCACCGGAGAGAGCCCTGAGTTTGAAGCCAGGTAGCCTGGAGACACACCAGCACAGCCAGGATGCAAAGTTGACCCTTTACGCATTTCTTCTCTCCCCCAACAGCCAGGCTACGTCACCTGCCACGAGTAACAGAATATTTACTATCAGCTGCAATAAGGAGAATTATTACCAGCATTACTGAATCACATCAGCAGATGCAAGGTACTGAGCACAGAAAATTACAGACAACTGCTCCTCTGACTCGACAGTGAATCACACTGTGCAATCTGTATGCACGCATGTCCTCCCGGAGCCGCTGGATTCCTCAGCATACCTTCCAGACCTTAATTTGTATTAATAATATAAATATGCACTGTGAGCTTTTATGAATTACCAGATGAATTTATCTTGTGTGGAAATTACATTTTCTTTTTCTTTTAAATGAGTCAGCCAAAGGGGCTGAATACAGAATTCAAGTATGATGATGGGTGGGAGCATTTTAAGTGACTGATTTTGCAGCACAATGTGCCCTATATTTATTAGCCTTTTACTCTAGGTCTATTTTAATTGTTATCTGTTCATGCATGCTACACTATATAATGAAATGCTCCCATTTCACTCACAGAGTAGAGTTTTTTTAATGTGTATCTCTATTAATGACCCTTAATTAAGTTGATTTTAGTCATTTAAATGTGATTCTCCTCCGGTCAAGAAGTATTTTTAAAGGGAGATGTTGGAAATGAACTCTCACATAAGCCCTTTTCTAATGCTTCTTGTTTAACAGTTATAACAATTTATCAGCTATGTTTTCAATGAATGAGGTGTGGGGTAGCCATGCAAAAAACTGCTCATCTACATGATTCATCAAATGTGATTGTTAGCAACCATTTTTTTGGTATTTATTTATGAAAGACTTCAAACTTCCAAGCAATTAGCAAAAATGTTACCAAAGGATAAACTTCATGACAGTTCTAAGCTACAATAAATACAAGGGTACATCTTAAAAAGAGCCAAGAAATAAAAGTAACATATTTTAAAATAATTTAGTCACGGTATCAACAGAAGCACAGTACCAACATTATTTAGGATTACAAGAATTAACATCCAACCCCTTTAGGAAATAAAATCAACTTGCTCTCGATAAAGTAAATCTTACTTAATATATACGAGCGATTAACAACATTAAAAGCATTGTTCTGATAACTCTTTTCAAAATATATGATTTAATCTTTTTTTTTAAACTGAAAAAAGAATGACTGGAGATTTTCTTAGTATACATGCATTTGAGGGTAAAACACTACAGATCTTTAATTTGGCTTGTCAGGTCATTTTAATATTATGTCATAATTTTACTTCTTGTGCAAATATTCATTTTGCTGAAACTTCAGAGGAAGAAAGTTTAAAGTGAGGTATTAAAAATCACTGTGGGTAATAATATGTGGAATCCAACCAATGCAATTAGGTAAGAATACATAGCTTTTTACTGTTAATGATGAAATGTTCCTGTTTTTCAATCTGGAATAATGGTTGTGGTCTGAAAGATCTTTACTTGTAATTGTAATTCTAACTGTCTAATAAAACACTGACTTTGTAATCCCTGTGTTGCAAAGGTACACACAAGCTTCAAAAATAGGATGGGAAAGATTAAAGGTTCTCTCCAACTCTGTGTAACCTGTGTAGCAGAAGAGCAGCTCACATTTCACAAGCAATAACCTGTGCATTTGCTAAAAAAGAAAAAAAAAAAAAAAAAGGGGGGGGGGGGGGAGAACAACATAGGGAAATGCCTGAGGCAGAAGTTGAAACTGATTGGACAAAGTAGAAGGACAAGAGCCCTTGAAATTAAACAAAAGCAAATTCATTCTGTTGACAGATGTTGATTACATCAAAGCCACGAAAGAACTTTTTTCTTTCTTTTTTTTTCCTTTTTTGCAACTAATACCCCACGTTTTCTGTACAATAAGGATATAACATATCTTAATCAACATAACCCAACATGTAATAATTTTTAAATTTGGTAAAAGTATATTGTAACGAGGTCTTAACGACAGGCTTCTCCAAACAAGAGTGTATTCACATGGTCATGTCTGCATACCCGTGCTGGTCACGCCATCATCAGCCCCTTACTTCCAGGGGTTAACTGCTCTGGCAGCCAAATAAAATACAGAGAGCGCTGTGTAATTATGGAGACAGTCAAAGGGCAGACTCTATTTTGAAATCTATTTGCACAGACAAGGTCTTCCAATTTCGCTTACAGGAAACAAGCTGGTAAAGGGGGTCTCCTCCTCTCCAGATGCTTTCCACACGTTTTTCCCACATCAGGAAATCGTGGACATGGACACCATGCAGCACTGTTTCCTGGATTGCAGGACTATGTCATTACAAGGAGAAGAGCAAGTCCATGCTCGTGAGAAATATTTCCTCCTAATTGCCCACATTAGGGGAAAGCAAAACACACAAGGACTACTGAAAATGTGACTAGCAGCAATTTGTAAACAGGACGCAGCCACAGCTGTCATGATGGTACTGGAAAACAGAAAACAGAAATGAAAGGGTAAAAACACTCTGTTTTTAATAGCATGATTGGGGAAATGAAATATTCATCAGGATAGATGTGACTTCAGTTACAACAGCAACACATTGGTGAAAACCTCGACAACAGCGTGCTTGTGACTGTACCCTGATAAACGGAAACACAGGCCAGTATCTTATAAACATTATATTCTAATTGGCATTGTTTTATTTAATTATTGAAATTAACTGGAAATTAACAACAGAAGTTGTTTAGTTAATAAAGGCATTAACAGAATTGCTCTTCTTGTTACTCTCCTAAGAGGCAATAAAGCAAAGCAATGGCCAAACGCCATTGCAAGGGAGCAGACTGCAAGGGAGCAGAGTCAGCCCCTCTGCCAACACCATTGGGACTCCTCCACAGCACTGAAAAAAGTCAAGTTTGGCCCTCAGGACCAGTTATGCTCCCTGCTAATTACAATTTTGCCTTTACTTCACGGAGAGCGGAACCGGGCAATTTGTTTGCCGTATGCCAATACAAATGAGTTTTTTTAATTGGGTGTAAATTTATAAACTATATGAAAATACATACTTGTTTGGCTTACTTATTATGACTTAGTCTGGACCAGCACACTAAAATGATGAATCAGTGCCTTCTGGAATAGTGCCGTTCTTCTAATTCATTATTCAGTCAAACTTAGGGCCAACAAAATAGCTGTTCTACAAGTTGGTAAACTGGGAAACCACAGAGAATCAGAACCTCTTCTATTTACAGGAAGGATGACAGCCTAAGGGTACTTCATCTCAATAATAACAACATTCAAGTAACGGTGCCCAGGTCATGACAAGCCATGACCCTCCTCATAGCTCCTTCAGGAAGCTGGCTTGGTGCCACCTTTTATCAGCAGCAACCGACAGTGCAACTTTAACAAACAAGGAGAAAAGGAAAGATTAATTTTATATCCTTAAAAACCCGTTTGACCAATTGAGCTGGTGTGTGTGTATATATATATATATACACACACACACACAGAGTCACACCAAGCCAGTATAAGAAATAAATTCACTGACTGAGTAAAATTCTGGTATCATTAAACAGCACTTTCCAATTTTATCATAGGATTTAAAAAATACAGAGTACAATCTAACTATATCTGAATTATCTTCATTCATATACCACAGGAAATTAATTGTCTATTACAGAAAATGGGACTGGGCTGTACAGGCTTAACTTCGGGAACAGGGCATTGCAGTTCTCCAACAGAGCCTTCCGTCCTAGTGTTATTTCTATTACGTTTTCTCTCTCCAACAGAATAACACAAGCAGAAAATAAAAAGAAAGTGCTGCCTAAAGCAGTATCAGCGCAAAACGAAACGAGTCAGGTACAAAAGCTGGACAAAGCAATATTAAGAGTTTCACACACAGTTAATATCAGGGGAATTTAGGCTCCAGATCACAGCATCTGGCAAGTTTCAACTTCTGTGACTAGCAGGAGAAACATTCCTCTTATGTTACTGCATTCCTATATTGAGTAAATTAATTTATCATAACGTGAATAAATTAGAATGAGAAACATATCTGCTCAGCTTTGCATATTTAAATACATGCTTCAATCACTTTCTATCTTTATTTTTTTTAAAAGATCAGAGAAATTACTTTTGCTTGAAAGATTGGTTATTGTGTTCATGATTCTGATTTTGTAGGGAAGTAACAACTGTTGGAACAAGTTACTCAGTTTAAAAAATAGCAGTTGTTTCAGATTAAAATAATAAGCTATTCAAATAGTCCTTACACACACGCACAATACCGAATCTTGTTGTTAATATGCACCCACCCACGGCTTTAACATTCATTGAATCCTACTGGGATAAAATCTTTTCAGGTGCTCTGTGAAACAACTGTTTTTCAACTGGCATGTTTATGTCCTATATACGTGCCTGATACGGTATTAAATGTTAAAAATAAATCCTACTTTAACCTCTTAAATTTCCAACTGAAATGGAAAAAATGTTTGAATCACCACAAAAATGCTTCCCACAGAAACCCTTTCAGCGGGTGAACAAGGCTGCTGAAATAAGAATAATCTTTGCATAGAAAATTTAGGAGTGCTCCTGAACACTGTATCAGGATTTTCTGCGTAGCTTGAGACACAGGAAGAGAATGGGCAGTCACGAGTCCTTTCCCTGCACAAAATACTAGACCATTGTAATAATTATTTTCAATACCCCTGCAGCCAAATCTCTAAGGATACAAGATGATTTCTGAATCGTAAGGCAGTCTTATCTTAAAATGAAAAAAAAAATCGTACACTGCTAGCAATTTTGGGATGAATAACTTAATAAAATAAGATTACATTACTACTCATTTGGTAAAAATGACAGCTAGCAATATTTCTTGCCTTGTATTAGATGTTGTTAATTACCTGTATTGTCCTGTTTTCACACGAAAACACAAGTTACACTAGGACAGTGAGTCGTTACTGAGAAAACACGTAGGTGTCCTTTGCTAGAGTGAAGAGTGTAAGGTTGGAGAATTACTTCCTAAAGCCTGGACTTCAAAATAAATGAGCAGAGAGGTATAAGAGTTTACAGCTGTTTCTGCTAAACTACTGTGGTGGTGGTGATGGTGGAAATAAGCTCTTTTTTTTTTTTTTCCCAGGAAGATGCTCTGCACAAGGAAGATGTTCCAATCAGGAGCTTGCTGCAGATAACTTGTAGCATCCTTATTAAAATATTTATTTTTAAACCTGTCAGTCATTAGTATGTGCTATTAATGTGTAACTTGGAAGCTTATTCATAAATATGTGACATTTGGGTCACTGAATTAATTATAATATGATTATGTATCAAATTTGGAAGAGGATGGTATAATGTTTAGGAGCTGTTTTAATTTTTTTTAAAAATACCTTTCAGTTATCTCCTTGCTTAACATTTACAAAGACCTCTTTCATATCATAAAAGTCCCTGTTTATCAAACAGTGATACAGGAAGAAGTTGTTTACATTTTCAGAAGTACCAACATACATCACTTATGACAAAAAAAACAAGCACTTCATAAGAAATGCTCAATCACTGTCAATCATACGCACTACAATATACATAAACCAAAGCATGTGGTGTGAGCTATATTAGATTCAAACTGAACACAGAATTACAACTATAACAAACAAAAAACAAATAATTACAAGTGACTCATAGGCCTATTTACACATCTCACCAAACTGCTGGAAAGGTAGGTAACCATAGAAACCTGACAGCCTAAATTCAGTACTTTAAAATTTGTATTTAGTTTAAAATGCTGAAAATGATGTTTCTATTTGACGAAATCCATATTTTTAGAGGCTTCAGGTTTTGCTTTGGTACTTAAATAAATGCTTAAAATGATTTAATCTCTCAGTTACTAATAATTTGCCTTTTAGACTTTATTTTATCCAAGTAAAGATTACAATTTACTCTTAGTAATATAAATTGTTAATACATTTTAATACTGCACATTAATATTTCTAACATTTCTTTAACGACTGAAATTAAATAATGATATAAAACAAACACTCCTGTACTTACTATTAAATGTTCTGCATATAGAGTTTTCTAAGCTGCACACTGGCAAAAAAAAAAAATTACTCAAATTAACTGTTAAAGCTGAAATGCTAATAGCCTTTTCAACTTATAGTTCTTTTTCATTGACAATTACAATTTGCATGGCTTAAAATTTAATACTATGATTAGTACTAATGTCCTATATTTTACTTCATAATCTAAATGAGTAAAATATTATTTTTGTAGTTCACTGGCTCTTATACTTAGGCTGTAATGTTCGGTGTGTATTTCATTATGCAGATGAGCAATGGATGTCGTCTAACATGATTTAAATGGGTCAACAGTATTTTCCTATTCACATTAATCATCCAGACAGCCACAAAAAAAAAAAAAAAAAAAGCCTTGAAAACTAACCTAGGAAATCTCTTTTTATCACCGACTCTTCCCACTAGTCAAACAACAGCAAACACATGCTACAGGAGACGGGAGCCTCACAAACCGGGGAGCCAAGGCTGGGTGCTGCTCCTCTCGTGGGTGCGCAGCTCCTGCCGCAGCCGGTGCCGGCAGCGGGCAGCACTCCCCGGGCTGCCCACGGCCCCGTGCCAAGAATGATTCTCGTCCCGTGAAGTTCAGTGGGAGCTGGGCGTTGACAAACGGAGCAAACTTGAATCGGCAAAATACGTTCTTGGCACAGGGACATGCAACTGCGCTGAATGCAAAGGCGTGCTGCCCACTGACGCTGAGCTGGCAGCCGGGCTGTTCTTGCGTAAATACGCTTGTCGGAAAACTCCCACTAAAGTCAAAGGACACAGGATCAGGCCATTTATTGCCAATTGTTTATAAAACACATTAAAATTAAGGGCTCTATTCTCAAGCCATGTAGCCATCATCTACAGCCCATTTCATATATGGCATATTACAAACAAAATGATAATTTATCACTAATGGCGCTTCTGTGCAAAGGGAAGCTGTTCTAATAAATGCCAAAGGGAAAGAACATCAACTACAAAACAGGCAGAAAGCAACAGGATGATCAGGTACCAAACATTCAGACTCATTCATTAAATAAATATATTATTAGCATAAAAAAAAAAAAGAAGCAATCAAGATTGTCTCATATATAAAAGTACTGCCATAGTACAAAACCTCTATAAAGGCAGAGATGACACATTTGATTATATTATGGTGTAACACGGCTGGCAGAGCTTGCCTGGGAAGCCCCACACTGCTCATACCACAGGGCAGATCCTGCTGGACAACATGGAGGAG